AGAATTTATCTTCTCAACTATTGCGTTGATCTCCTTGAAAGCGTTGAAAGGGCTTGTCAGATCGGGCAATATTTGTACCTCCATGAATTTTGCATGATTCCGCGCGTCATTGCTTCATCCCAATCCTCCTCATCATCGTTTTGATGATTTCCTTTCGTGCATTTGCACAAAACTTTTGTGGGAGAAGGGACATGTCATCATTTGGTTTTTTCAAACTCTACAATGGAGGAAGTAATAATTTGTAAGTGCCCTTGGATCACTTACGAATGATTTGTTATTCGCTTGTGGTCACAGAGAGTTTCTTTAGGTCGCCTATCCACAGCCTTCTCTGGATGGACCGATTGCTATGTCGTATGTATGAAGTGTAGTTATTAGTGCAGTGCTTTAACAGTAGTTAGCCTGACCTCTCCTTGTATGGAAATATTGACATCCATCCTTGCATGAGGTATTTATGGGGTTTTGAGTGAAAAAATATCTTTAAACTTTCCAGAAATCCGTAATCAAACAACCTCTATCGATCCTGATTATGAGCCTCTTGGAGATGCCCTATCGGTAATCGATCGGATGTTGGTGTAAGTGATTTTTGCCTACACCCAATCCTATTCGAAAATATTTTTCCTCTTGTATATTCTTATCTTTCTTATTCTCATCTTTCTTAAGTGGATTTTTCTTGATGATAGCCAGTTTATCGAAAATGAAAACTATTTCGTTATAAAAGTAGAGTAGTATTTTAGAAGCATCAACGAGAGCAAGAGAGTAGGAGCAGAAAGTGAAGCGATTTTCAAGAAGATTGATGACTTGCCGGTATGGTTTATAAAGGATTGTTGCACTTTTTTTTAGCTATGTAGGGATTCTTGCGCATGTGATCTTTAAAAAAACCAAAATCGCTCAAAGAAGTTGGACATCAGTTTTGATTAGCTGTTTGTAGGTATGTGTAGTGGTTAAATGCATGAAAAGTCTTTATTTAGAGTCATATCCTACGGTCACCGCAGCAGTTTGTTTGCGCATTACAATTTCTATCAATTCCGAATGGACACAGTGTTTGGAATACTTTTGTTGTTGAGCTGTTGCTGTTCAAGAATTGTCTTTTGGCAAGTGTTCATATAGTTTTAAGGCCTTTTAAAGACGTAATTGTCATACATTGTGGGTAAAACTGAAATTTATTCAGATGACCGAAAAATTGGGTGATAGTGTTACCTGTGGAGCATTTCTGCGAAGGAAAACTGCGAAAACTATGAAATTCATCGAGTACTGCGATCTGATCAGAATTCGAGCTGTGAGAATTATTCTGAATTCAGGTAAAGCTTTACTAATCGTCAAATTTCTAAAACTTTATTTTTACTGGTGTGGTTAATCAATTTCTGTGACTATTTATTTTCTGTGGCAGTTCTAAAAAGTAAAATTCAGAAGATGAACGCATACTAGTAATTGTTGTACGAAATCCGACGAAAGATGCTGAATGGTGCGTGCAAATCGTTTATCCAGACGATATGATCAATCAATTTCTGATGAAACTCGTCGAAGAAGTGGGTTTGAATGTAATTCGTCAATACAAGGATATAACTGTTTCAGCCTGCATGCTTGAAGTTCAGATATTGAGTTTTTTTTTCCAAATCCTTTTGTTTGTGTGTCGTAAGCGATACTTTGGCTTTCTGCTTTTTGATTGTAATGTTTTGTTTGGTTCCAT